GAGGGTGTTGCAATATAGTCCTGTGCCTGCTTTAGCAACGCCTTTGAGGGTTAAGCTTTCTTCTAAATGTTGTTAAGCATACTTCTAATCGTAGCCCATCTTACTTCTAAACGTGGTTAAGCTGACTTCTAAACATGGTGAAGTGTACTTTTAAATGCGGTGCAGCTTCTGAACATGGTTAAGCTTCTACACGTGGCTAAGCTTACTTCTAAAAGTAGCTAAGCTTACTTCTAAAAGAAGCTAAGCTTACTTCTAAACGTGGCTAAGCTTCTTTTAAAGCGCGGTTCAGCTTACTTATAAACATGGTTCAGCTTACTTATAAACATGGTTCAGCTTACTTCTAATCGTGGTTCAACTTCTAAACGTGGTTCAGCTTACTTCTAAACGTGGTTAACCCTGTCAATGATATGCTCAAGGCCGGATGGTCCCCTCTTTCGCACCTAGACCCAGGCAGCTGCCTTCCTTCCTCCAGCGGACGCAGGTGTTCACTCTGCTCTCTCTTTTGACACTTCTACGGTCTAAGCTAGCAAACGCCCTCGCTGCGAAAAAGGACGTCTCGTCAGAGAACAAGAGGAGAGCAGACGGAGACACGGCAGACGGCAGACAGACGACGGTCTCGCTCGTCACCGCTCCGCCCTCTCGTGGGTCTCTCGTGGGGTTTCACGTACACCTTCCCCAATAAACTAGCAAAGACCCACTTCATTCACCTGCTCTACGCCCCCGACCTCTTACGTTAACCAACCTTACTTCAACACGTGGTTCACCTTACTTCTAAATGTGGTTCAGATTACTTTTATACTTGGTTAAGCATACTTCTGTGGTTCAGCTTACTTCTCAGCATGGTTTAGTTTACTATATGTGGTTAAGCTAACTTCTAAAAGTAACTAAGCTTACTTCTAAGCGTGGTTTAGCCTACTATACGTGCTTAAGCTTACTTCTAAAAGTCAAAACATGTTTAAGTGTACTTCTAAGTGTGGCTCAGCTTACTTCTAAGCATGGTTCACCTTATTTCTAAACGTGGTTCACCTTCTAAATGTGGTTTAGCTTCCTTCTAAACGTGGTTTAGCTTACTTCTAAATGTGGTTCCACTTCCAAGCATGGTTCAGCTTACTTCTAAATGTGTTTCAGCTTACTTCTAAACATGTTTAAGTGTACTTATAAACGTTGTTAAGCTCACTTCTAAGCGTTGTTCAGTTTGCTTCTAAGCGTAGTTCATCTTGCTCTTAGCTTACTTTTAAGCATGGTTCAGCTTACTTCTATGCGTGGTTCAGCTTGCTTCTAAGCTTACTTCTAATCGTGGTTCAGCTTACTTCTAAATGTTATTGATGGGCTGTAAAAGTCACTCATAATCTGTTTGTAAATGCACGAGCCCTTCTTCCTAAGAGTATGCTCATAAAGCCTATTCATAATTCAGAATGTACTCTCATACTTGATGTTCTCAGAAACAATACACAGAAACGCAAAGTAAATATTCCAATAGGATTTTCATCTTTAATTCCTTATTTGGCGCGCTGCAACGTTCGCCCGCATTCTTCTTCCGATTTTGCTGTATCTTATTCTCATTCTTACATGAAGTCGCTCTAATAATCTGGTTCTGGCATATATTTTTTATGACTGGATGCCCTTCCTGACGCCCTCTCTACGTACCCGGGCTTCAGACCGGTGCTGACTTGGGCTGGCTTGCCAACCAGCTTCACACTATCTGATGGATGATATATTGCAAAATGAGAGTTAGCAAAAGACAGTCCAAGTTGGATGCATGGCCGACCCCCCTAGAAGGCAAGAAATGACCAAGTAGGAGGCAGCGTATTCGAATGGCCGACTCCACTAGGAATTAAGGCAATGTATAACAGCGACGCTATGAGGTAAATGGGACAAGCTTAAAGAAGAAGAATGTTCGCCCTCCCCTTAAATGCTACAACCCGCATTATAACCAAAGTGATAACGTATGATGTTGAATTGATTTGTTGATATGTAAATATGTCAAATAGAGGAAATTATAGAGAAATTAGATATTAAGAGTCACAATTTCTGCTGATTTTTCCACACTCATCATAAAAAAAAATAAATAAATATGTATATATATACACATATTATATATATAAGATAATAAAGATAATAAAAGTTAGGATAATATGTGTTAAATGTCAAAGATGGTAATAAAAAGGGAAAAGAGGAGAGCGAGTGATGTAGAGGAGGGATTTATAGCAAGGGAAGGGTTAAGAAGGATAGGACTATTGAGTGAATTGCAGTGTATCTGTGACCGGGGAAGGAACAGGAACAACTTCCATGAGAAATAGAGATAGCTGTTGGAAAATGTAGAAGAATCGGGGTGGGGTGGGGGGGGGAAAGAGGGGAGAGAGGATGGGGTATGTTGGTATGATGGGGGAAACTTCAGGAAGAGGATGGATATCAGCAAATACTTTAAATGTAGGAGAAGGAACAGGGGAATTGGAGGATGGATGAGGCAGTGGAGTGTTCCCTTGGGTCATGTTTGGAT